CTCTGCTGATTCAGTATATTCCCCCGTTTTATCTTGTTATATTAGTATATTAGCATACATATATATAGATATTAAAATGAATTTCTATATTAGTACATTATTCGCATTTAAGTAGTGTTTCGAGACTACCAGTGAATCAGTAATATGAGATGTATTCACCCAATTTCGTTTAAGGTGATGAAGGTCTGGTAGAAGAATTTTCCCTTAATGATATTAGTAGTACTGACGTTTCCATTGAAGTTCACATAGCCTTGCTTTCCCAAAGGCACACGTGGCAATGTGGCCGAGTGGTTAGCGTGTCAAGCTGCACTGTCACGGTTCGACTCCCGCTGAGAGTGTTGATAAGACCGATGCGAGGTCGAAACTGCAGTCCACCCAGGATGAGAACAACTTTTGGGAAAGGAAGACTATGTGAAATTCAATGGAAACGTCAGTTCTACTCATATTATAATGGGGAAATTCTTCTACCAGTCCTTCATCACCTTAAGCGAAATTGGGTGAATACATCTCATATTAGTATATTATTCACATTAGTCCTTACTTCAGCTCGTAAATCCAAGCTGATCTTTACTCTTTTGTAATATAATCTTCTAGATGGCTCAACAATGTGTGGTTAAATAGCAGTTTAATTTCATAGGGAGGTTTGTAATAACTTAATTTTTTCTATTTGGAGATTCAGGATTTTATATGGACCTGTCTGCCCTTATATAAATATATAAATATATATAAATATAAATATAAATATATATTTAAACCTCATAATATTCAATAAATAGTGCATTTTATACAAGCCGATGAATGCTCATACTTTCACTTAGATAACTAGCTGCAAGGGGGCCCTTTATAGTTAGATCCTCTATAAAACCTTAAGATACGTACCTGCTAAGCCTTCTATTACTTCTTAGCATAAATACTAGCTATATCTTTTGTAATTCGATACCCCTTATCCTTTAAATGAAGGCTTTTTCCTCGGGGATATGGCCGAAGTTGGGAATATGAGCTATTGCTTTTAATTCCTACTTTATTCTTGATAGAGATAGCGGTCACAAACCAAAATTTATTCTATAATATATGACCTTCCAAGCATTTACTTCGCATTCGCTCGACCAATTGGTTCTAATATTATTATGCTGAATAATATCACTCGACCAACAAGGATTAAGTGGCATCAAAACTCAGAGACCGAATTAATTATATCAAAATTGGCAACTTGTTTATCAATTAATGTGTTGATAATGCAAGATAATCTTTTAAGTATCCAACACCTTGAACAAGTTATGAATGATTTTATTTTTGTGACATTTCCATAACTGTATATCTACCTTCCTTATTGATGTTGTAAATGATTTGTTATTTATTTCTTGGGAGTTGCTATGTAAACTAGATCATTTTACTTATTCCTCTGTTCAGTTAGCCCTCTATACTCAAATCAGTGGGATACTTCTTATCTTCAAGGAAAAATACTTTGCTGTTTATCCGATAGGGTGACAACATATCCTGTAATTATACTTGCTTATTAGCAGATGATCAGTTTGTACTCAGGAGCCCACATTCTTTATCACACATGGATGAACTTATTCTAAAAGCAGCAATAATACGTTGTAATGCGCCTTATTGTGCACTTAAAAATCCGTTAAGTAATTATTTTAGCATCAATGAATATTATTACTATCCATAGTGGCCACAAGTTTATTTCTCCCATATTGCTTTTACATTGCCAAAGAGTGTGAATATATGTGATCGAATTCCTTTATTAAATTTTTCTAATAGCACTCTTCCTACGGACTCACAATTTATCGAAATACGCTTTGAAATATTTTGCGCTTATTACAATAATCTCCATCTGTTATCCTCTGTCTTTATTCGGAATTCTCATTTTTATCTATAGCTTCTGCTTTCTGTTTTTCCCTGCTCGTTTTTCTTTCATCTAAACTAAACCTTGCGACATCTAGAGTCGACTTCCAGGTGATCCGAGTTCCGCAAATCCTCGAACCGCATATGCTGTCATCTAACGTCACAGTCGGTCAGCCCGTCACCCTACTCTGTAAAGTTCTTGCTAATGGCAACCTTCGATTGGCCTTTGAGTTCAGTCCCACGGGCGGCCGTCTCGATGGAACAGGCTTCCGAGCAACTTCCTCTTCGAGTAAAGAGAAGACCGGCTCGGCTTTAGCTTCGCACCCAGGCGACACTGGGACTCGATCTTCTGCCAGTGACGCCTTGCTCTGGCGGCCCGTAGATCAATCAGGCAATGGAATAACATTACAAGAGACGACTGAAAGGAATAATGTGAAAAGTCTCTTTTTGAAAATTATGAGTAAATGATTCTATTACAAAATTATAACTATTGAAAATACATTTCTAGCAGAATGCTGTGGCTTTTTGTTTAAGGTGCAGTCCACTTTTGTTGAGTAGATATTGCGTGATATTGTTTTTAAAATTTATTCGTTTTTGTAATTCACAGATAATTTATCTAATTTATCCTAATTAACCACATCAAGTTTTAAATGTGCGATATGACATGTCTGTTTGTCTACTAAGTTAGCATAGTTTTATTTCGTTTCCTATCCAAGGACGTGCTGTTTGGCCTGTGGTTACGCTGCCTGGTCTAACCATAAATGTTTGGCTACACTAGCTATACTACTCATGAATTGGTCGACCGTTTTGTATCCTTCCTACACGCTTACGGATAAGGGGAGGGGCTGCAGATGACGCGTGAATTGAATGCAGCTGTGGCCAAAGGTTGCATCATCACCTAATCCACCTGTATTTTTGTCCTATCTTTGTCTGGCTGAAGGTAAGCAAAGCTGAGGGAAAGGCTTCAGGTCGATTAGATGCAATATTAGTCAGCTTAATCGGGATAAAATTTAATCAATTTCTATACCTTACCTCTTAAGATTGATTTAAGCTATTCTTCTTCGGTCCGTGCATCAACTTTTATAAATTATTAGTAATCTATATTTACTCTGGATAGAGTAGAGTATAATTAGTTTCTTTATACTCAAGGATATCGGTGTAGGCCTGATCTTTTGCTTCATCAAGTAAAAAAAAGAGTACCAAAGTCATATCATCATTGTAACAGATATCAGGAAAGGAATTAACATAAACATGAAACGCATTGTTAGACATTAAAGTAGTCTGATGAAAAATTGTCCTTATTTGGGCTTAGAAACTATTCCTTTACTATGATCTATCCATATGACTCATGCAGTTTGAAACCGACTCTTTTATTAATCTAACCACACATTATTTTTTTCCTCTTAATATGTTTTATATGAAGTTATTGGATATTATTTGTTTACAGAGCTGACTTTCATTTCATCTGAGAGTGTATGATGAAGAGATTAGTGGTCGATTTCGCCAGAAGACGATGGCAGATTACTCTTTGTCTGCAGTTTTAGTTTCCCGATTCGTTCAAATTGACGCATTCCTACTTCTTGAATATACCACAAAGAGTAAACTCAGGACAAAAGGGAAGCCTCTATTGTTCACTGTCGATATCGACCCACGGAACTCATTATCATACACTTGTACACTCTTACTGAAAGTCATGTTTGCACTGGTATCTCCGCAGGTATATTGCCGGTCGGTTACTCTTCGAGGTGATAGTAAGATCATCGATAACAACTGATCTTCCTGGCTGGATAAACTGGC